TATTTATAACATACTTTCTCAACAGCATTCTGATATGCTCTTTCTCTATGAATTCTTTTACATTTATCAGTCCTTAAATGCTTTGCCATATTAGACTTATTTTTAATCATACAACCGCATCTTTCACATTCTAATGACTTATCATTTTCTATAAAATACTCTTTAAAGTATCCTTCTTCTTTATATTTCTTGTTCAATACATCATTATATTTTTTCTTACTTTCCTTTTCCTTTGCCTTCTTAATTTCTTCCTCTGTATCCGTGCTGAAGTCTGAAACTTCACCCTCAATAGAATTCCACAACAAATCAAATTCATCATTTGTCATAGAAATTTTCTTTTTATTGCCATCTACAATAAAGCAGGTCATTTTACTTAATATATAATATAATTATTTCTTTAAGTATATTTGTAAATTTACTCGCTACTTTTGTTAAGTTCCTGTAATTGGGTTATTAAATTTTTATGCCATAATAACCATAAGGAACACTGTTATAATTATCTATCCAATATCTCTTGTTGTCGAAATTACATAATGATTTTTTAGTTTGACTGACACTGTATATTTGATGTGCTTTACTTCTTATAGAATTGAATGTTACTGTATCACAGTTGTTATTTTCTAATGTATCATTGTAATGATTGTAGCTTATTTCTTTCTTAACTTTTTGTTTGGGAATACCTTTACTCTTCTTTTCCTCTTTCACTTCATTATGTATTTTAAAACAATATGACTTTGGTTTCAATGCTATAAAGTTAGTTATTATTTTACCGTTGCATTCGTCCTTATAGCAACCAAGTTTTTTCTTATTTGATTCATCATAACATTTATGTTCTGGGTGATAATCACTGAAATCCATAAATTCCTTTATGTCATTGAAATCATCATAAATGTCTTCGGTTTTAGTGTGAATGACGAAACTATCAGTATCTGTGTAAATTAACCTCACATTTTCATTATATTTCTTTTTCAATATGTCATAGTAAAAAGAATGCATATGTTGTTTTGACAAATCCAATATACACATTCCAACATAAACAGGTTTATTCAGTTTTATAACGCTCTTGGCTTTTTCAACACCGATAAGGTTTTCATTAATGATATGCCTGTATTTGAAATTAGGATTATTAACGCATTTTTGGTAGCGTTCAGGTGTATCAACCAGTTCAAAGTCAATTTGGTTTCTTACATTTTGCATTGTTTTTCCATATACAGCATTATTCATTAACTTATACATATCTTTTGAAAAATCACTTTTTGCTTCCTTTCTCTTCTCTGTATTAAAGTCAATCCACGGTTTCAACCATTGCTTATGTCTAAACTCTATAACTCTGTTTATTTTCTTGATTTTTAATCCTTGTTTAAGATAGAATTTTAATATATCAATATGTAAAACATAATTTTGTTTGTCCATAACATTTAATATTAATTTGTTTGTTTTCTCATCTTTCGGGTCATTACCATTATTGTATTTTTTATAGATTTGTTTTTGAACATCACTTAGCATATCTGCTGTTATATTCATTATTTCTGGTGCTAATGGATAATCTATGTGTTTGTCGTGGCATTCTTTCGGATATTCTAAATCAACATCTAAAATATAACCTTTACTACTGTAATCACTATTGTAGTATTTAATGTCTTCTTCTGTAAAATTATCTTTCACAAATTTAATATTCTTATATGGTAGTTTTTTACACATTGCTAATCCATAAAGGTTATTAGCATCAAGGTATGAAATATATGAAGATGGTTTAGACTTATCATAATCTTCACCCATATATTTATTGTTAGCAATTGCTTTTTTATAGGCACATTGAACCATACCGCCTCTTAGTCCTTGCTCTATCATTTTATAAACTTCTTCATCGTGTAGAAGTTCTAACTCAATTCCTGTTTTCAATAACATCGCGTCCCAAGCAAAGTTAGGCAAAGTGTAGTAATGGGCGGGGTCTAATTCATAATCTGTTAGACATTGTTTTCTGAAATTCTCATATACATCGGTTAATAATAATACATCGGTTTCTAAATATAAATCATGATATTCACCAAGGTTTTTAATGTTAAAGTGTTTCCATATTAGTTTTGCTCTTTCATAGTCAACATCGCTTATATCTTCTTCGCTTAATCTACTATAAAAATGTTTCTTTTCTGGTAGTTCAGTGTCATTAAATTTATTGAAGTCATTACAATAATCATAAGGATAAACTCCCTTTTCTGTCAGTAAAAATAAATCTTTTTCATTTTTAATGTATTTGCCTTTGAAACTGTATTTGAAATGTTCCTGCCAGTTGTCCCTTAATTTATTATCTTCATATTTTGTTAATTTAACAAGTTTATCTAATGATGATGATAAGAAACTGAAACTGTCCTTAAATTCAAGTCTGTTCAATGAAAAGGTAATAAACTTCTCACTGTTATGTGCTATTACTGATATTTGTTCTTTCTTTGTATTTAACTTTTCAAGATTAGAAATTATTAGGTGAGCATCATAGTTTTTAAGATTGTGAAAGAATACTGGTATATGATATTTTTTAAAACAATAGTCTATATTGCATTTCATATGTGCCGCTCCTCTGTATAATCCAGTAAAGTGGCAATGGTCAGCAACTTTCTTTTTCGCTTCTACTCTGTTGTCAAAATTATCATTGCATAAGAAACACTTTTTAGCTTCTAAATGTTTAATTTCATCTAAATCTGACATAATCATATCTTTTGGATTTTTCATTTGTTTCATTACATCGTCTCTAATATTGTTTAATGTATCACAAAATTTATCCATACAATCTTGGCCTCTATATAAAAATGGTTTCATTTCTCCACTATAAGCATTAACAAGGTTAAGCATATAACCGCTGGGTTTATGGTTCTGATAAGTCCCTTTGATGCCTTCTGATGTTTCTGTTGTTAAACATTCAAAATCACCGTAAATAACAAATGGTGCTTTCAGTTTCTTAAAATGCTTTTCAAACTTCATTGTTGTTCCTTCTTCTGGCATTTTTGTTTGATGAATGTCATTTGCCATACAACCTTTTATTAAGTGAGAATTTAAAAGTTTTTCTGACTTGAAACCGTGCTGACAAAAACTACAAAAGAACATTTTATTAGTTGTTTTGTTTGTTTGTCTTCCTGCTAATCTACTAAAATCTTTTATTAAAACATAATGTTCGCAAAGCTTGTGAGCCTCTGGTGAAGCATCGTTGTCGTTTTGTTCAATTCGTAACAAATTAATATGACAAGATGGTCTTTCAATTTTTGTTATTCTGTCTGCTCTGATGGTTTGGTTCTCATCTTCAACATAAACATTAACTGATATAGATTTGTTATTGATTTCTTCAAAATGGTCTATGTCATCGTTGGATGCTGGAAAATTTACACCATCCCATTGAATTAGACTTTCAGTAGTTATTAATTTCTTGTAGTGTCTCATATGTTGTGGATGGTCTTTCTTGAAGACTTCATAGAATTTACATAAAACACAATATTTAAAACATAATTCATCATCATTTTGAATGTTGATACACGCTTTTTTCTTTGAAATCCATTCTGGTAGTTCCATATATTTACCTGCTCTGTTCGGGTTGTATTTGTCGTAGTGGATGGTGATTTTGTTAATCTTATTAATCTTCAATCCTGAATGTTTCAAAGGTGAGTTTTCAATTTGTAGTTCAATATCTTTAGGCATATTTTCCAATGCTTTTTTCAAGTCTCCTACATTCAAAATGTTGTATCTCCTACTCCTCATATCGTGTTTTATTTGTATATTTTCCTCAGTTGGTTCGTCTTCTCCATCATCATCTTGCTGGTGAACTATATCAAACAGAACCTCAACATCAATCAGTAGTTTCATTGACTTTGCTTGTTGTAAAAACTCTGTTAGTTTCTTTTCTTGCCATAAAAGATATGTTAATCCTTTGTATCCCCTGAATGGTATGTTGGATATTGAATATGTGTTGGCGTACCCTTCCAATGCTGAAAATGTCTCTGATGTTTTTGCTCCTATTTTTAATCTGTATTTCTGGATTGTTTTAATGCCTCTCATTGTGTTTGATGCTTTTTTTAGAAGATGAAACCGTTTGAAACCTTGTGTGTTGCTGACTTGATTGAGTTTGTTTTGAAGTGATGAGGATATTGGTTTGTCTTTGTTGTAATAGTATTCTTTGTTGTTGATGATTAGTTTTTTCAATGGTTTGTTATTCTTCCCTGTTTTTATTTGACCTTCATTATTAGATAATAGATATTCAATTACTGAACCCGTGCTGTATTCCCCTGCCATTTCTCTATACTATATAAGGTATTTTCTCTTTAAGTCTTTTTTGGGGGCGGCGAAGGTGAGAACATAGACAAGGAACCCTTGACAACATAGAAAACAACCTGTTGACAACATGGAAAACAACCTGTTGACAACATAGAAAACAACCTGTTGACAACATAGAAAACAACCTGTTGACAACATAGAAAACAACCTGTTGACAACATAGAAAACAACCTGTTGACAACATAGAAAACAACCTGTTGACAACATAGACAACTACCTGTTGACAACATAGACAACTACCTGTTGACAACATAGAAAACTACCTGACAAATATTAGTGTGTCAATCCCAACCCTCTATCCCCCAGAAAGCCTTAAAATTGTCTGAAACCCGAACCTTGAAAATGATGAAATCTTAGACTGTTTCATAATGAAAAAATTGTAAAAAAATGTTGAGAAAATTTAGGAAAATTCCCCACAATCAACCTTTAGGTTTTGGACAAAATGGTTTGCTTGTTTAATTTCATCCCTGCCCCTGAAACCCTGAGCTGAAAATTCCCTGCCTTAGAATCAATCTTTTAATAATTTTTTCCCCCCCCCCCCCCGCAAAAACACGGACTGTTTTGGTTTTAAGGTTAAGTTACTAATTTTGTGTGGGTTGTGTGCAGGGTCCCTGAACTTGATCTATCCCCACCCATGCATCCGACAGAACTAGCCGCGAACTTTTCCCAGCTCTTCAGCCAAGGTGCCACGTGCGTGACCACCACAGTGGACACTGCGTCACAGGCGCGAACGGGCCTATGGGTGTCTAACAGCTTGCGCCCAAATACACGCTGTTGGGTAGGCGAGGAGGGCCAAATGTGCTACGCACTGCCTGCTTCAGGGTATATATATATATGTATAATTGAGCGGCGCATGGTAGGATGACCAAGTTATGTGAGTTTGCTGGCTTTTGCCAGGCTACAGGAATAACTTTCCTTGGTATGAGAGATCCAAAGCCCGATCCCTTTTCTCACTGCCAGCAGCTACGGGGTCTTGGGCAGTCTGCAATCCTGGGTTTGGGGCAGGCTCCAGGCAGGTTCTGGGAAAGTCGCGTTCCGAGAACAAGTTTTCGCTGCCCCCCGCGCTCCACTTTTATTGGACAGAGTACGCAGGTACTCGTATGCGCTGGAGATGTGAAACTTCTCTCCAAACAGGCGTCAAAAGAACTTTGACCTGGCATGCCTGAGTATGAGCGCCTGCCAACTTCACAAAGTGCGTTTGAACTTCCTGTTTGGCTTCTGCGGGCCGGTGCAACCAGAGAACACCAGCAGAAGCCGTTTGTTTAAAGAACGCCAGTCAAAAAGACCTTACTCTACAAAGTGAGACATGGTGAGTGCGTGCTGACCCTTGTTTGGTGTACCGCTTTATCCAACCACGTGAAAGTGCAGCAGGACTGCCGCATTAATTTTGCTGATGTCTCTTTAAAGGCGCCAAAGCGTTTGGGGATGGGGGTAATTAGAGGATAAGCGCGCCAGGCACCCGCCAAGCTTTCGCCGGGCGCCCGTTGTTGGGACAAGTGGCCGGGCAAAGATTTTGGGTGGCGCTTTGCGGGGTACTAAATAGCTGTGGCTCAAAACCAATGGTACCATGTTGGGGTAGGTGCGCCACCCATTCTAGTCGGGAATTTATTGGGGATTGGGATGTTCACTGGGGGTACGGGATTTTGACCCATGGCCAAATAGCTCAGAATGTTCAACGGGTAATTGTCCATTTTGTCCAGCCCGCCCTCCTGGCACCAAGTTTTAAGCCGTAGGGCCCATCACAAAGGGGAGATACATTGAGATACATTGAACGCTCATGATCAAGTTCCTTCTCTCCAACATTGGCAAATTTTTGGTCGGGGTTCCAAAGCCTTTTCTTGCCAGATCCGTACAATACGAGTGAGAGCCCGTGGCACCCTGGGGTTTTGACCAGCTTTCCGGGGGAAATGCCTCAAAGACGGCCGCTCCATTTTATGGGCCTTGGGCGTGTGGACCTTTTGGAGCCAGCAGTTCTTGCGACCAGCGCTGTTGGTTCTGATGTTTGAAGGCGCTTTGAGCGGCAAGCCATAGATTTGTGGCTGTTTCATCGGATCTTTGGACTTTGATTTGGGGAACTGTGGATTTTCCACTGGGCCCACAAAAAAGAGTTAAACTTTTTGCAGAGGGGCGAACACCACCAAGACAAGTTGTTCGACGTTTTTTTGGACCAAGCCACAGAAGAGAGCATTGGCTCAACGAAAGGATGGACTCCACTGGTTTTTTGTTTGGTTGCTCTGTTCCGGTTAAATTCGATCCTCCTGGGCCCTAGGGTCCACCTAGGTTGTCAGGCCCCAACCTCCGCCTATCCAAAGCAGTTGGTTTCTTTTGGGTTTCTTGCTTTTGATCTGTTAGTCAGGGTCCGAACGGCTCACCTTTCTGGGGGGTCCTGAGGGGTAGATTTCTTTTGTAGATGCGTCCTTTGCTGAACCCGGACCTGTGGATGGACGCGATTCTGCACCATGGGATACACCACAAACCAACTGTTGCGGTGTGTGGATTTTGTCCCGTAGCTTTCCCCTGGGACCCGCCTTGCAGTTGGGTGAAAGCACGTAGCGCACGTATGGTTTAGTCACCCCCTTTACTTGCCCAAAGGGTTGGTTGTCAAGAGTAGGGCCCCCTTTTTCTGAGCGTGCCCCTTTTTTTCGGTTCCAAAACTGGGTGCACCATGTTGACCACCAAGCTTCAATGTTTGAGTCTACTCCAAGGTGGACTTAGCCTTCCCTTTCCGTGCGCACCAAGCGCCCCTGTGGTTTTTTCCAGCCCGACAGAAGCGTGGAGCTCAAAGCCCCGGAGCCCACCGCAAATCGTAACATGGGACTTGGATCAAACTGTCCCTCCTAATTTTTAGACTGATTCTAAACAACAAATCCAAGATCAGTTTGCATCATAAGAAGAACATGGTCCTAAACACTTCCCCAGAATTAGCTCCTTTTTTTTCTTCCTTTGTTTGCTTCTTTGGGGTCTCTTTGTTTTCCACTAACCAGACATATATTTTTTGCTGTGGTCCAAATTCCAGCCTAGAGCAAACGCCACAAATCAGTCTGGATGTTTGACGTGAGGTGCAAGGCTCCGAGCTTCCTGCCACCGGCACCGCTGCCCTGGCTGGACAGCCTGGAGGATGGCCATGCCACGCTCTCCCGTGAGGCGTAGCCGCAAGCTGGCTTTTGCCCGCGGGCGGGAGCTAGATGTCTCTGCGGGGAAGTGTAGGAGGTCTTGGGTTCAATTTTTTTTGTTGTTTTAGGGGTGACTTTTGTGGATCTAATGGCTAGCTGCATGCCTTCCCCATTGGGCCATTCTCCGGAATACCAAGGGCATTTTGCGCCTGAACCAAGGTTGGCGGTGATCAAAGCGCCTGGTTGGCCGATGGGGCGTGAGTCATTTGAGGCGAACACCTTACCTTTGGGGACAAGCGTGACTCGTCTTGCTCCACCAAGCAGCCGCCGTTGTTTTGGGGGGCAAGTTGCCTTTCTCTCGGAAAGAGGGCATGATCATCACATGGAAATTGTGCCATCTACTTTCACGCAAGAAAAGCAGGGATTCTCCTAATTCACAGCCGACGGCCCGCTTATTATTGGCAATGTCCAAAACAGCTTTAGGGACATGCGCAGGCGTTGGGCATTTTAATGCCAGATGATAACACACACACACACTCACATTACTTTCTGAGTACAGTATTCAGATACTCCTTCACAAACGAGCCTAGACCATTGCGACCCAACTACTGTTTTTTCCAACGTTGCAGGAGTGTTCGGCTCAGTCCTGCTCTGTTTTCTCCACAACAAGGTTGCCGTTCCGAAAAGCCAAACTCCCCTTAGTGGTAGTGGACACCATCGAGAAACGATTTCGAATCTACATAAACAAGTTAAAGAAAGAAAAGCACAGTTGGTGCATGATTGCATATTTTCGAAAAGAAGCTTAACCACCGGACAAAATGAGCAAAAATCCACGCGTCTCGGATGTGGAAGTCGTGGCAGGGGTGCCTGTTGCTGGACAAAGCGATCCCCAGAGAGAAGTGCGAAGCCCTGGCGGCGCTGGCCGAGTCCTGAGGCAGATGCATCCCCGCCGGACCTGCGGCGTGCGCGACCGCGCTGGCCAAGGGTCCCGCTTTGAACCCACCTTTTCAAGGCTGGTCTTAGGTTTGACCAGAGGCTCCTTCAGACCTTTTGCTTTCTGCTCAGGGCGAAGCACAACAGGCCAGCAGGTAGGAAGAAGATGGGGAAAACCAAGGTGCTTATTTGTTTGCAGCCAAATTGGTGTCAGCTGGAAGTCCTGGCTGAGGTGGACCTCGTTTTAGACGACGCCTTGAAAGAGGTCGAGGAGGCCGCAAACGCCGCAAACGCGCGATGGAAAGCACTCAGGTGAACAGACATGCCAATGTAGGAGACACGTATTGCCATGTGCTTAAGGTGATTTGTGTGTGGGTGTGCGGGCTAAAAGCTGTTTTCCAAGAGTGCTGCGAAAGCCACAAAATCTGCACCTCACCTTTCGAATCTGCGCCTGCCACGGGATCGTTCCAGGAAGTCTTGCTTGACCAAGTGATACACGTGCCATTGACGTCGCGAAAAGCGCGCGCTTCCGTGCCAATGGGCCCGGGTCTGAACCCGAGTCAGCCCGCCGGAGACGCCGCAAACCCGCAGAGGGTCAGTTTGTGTTGTTCTATTCCCCCGCCACACGCCCACACATTTATATTTTGTTGCATGCATTTGTTTCTTTCTTTTTTTTTTGTGCGCAAAACTACCCGCAATTAGTCTGGGCGGCGCAGGAGTTCCTGCAAACATCATTGTATAAGCTATTGCTTGGTTAATACTCCAGCGAGCTCTCCCATGATGAAGGCCCCCCACGATTGCCTGGTGGATTTCGCCACTAACCGTGGTCCTGGCCCCCGACAAGGGTTACAATCGCAACATATTTTGATCTTTGTTGGTCAATGAGCTCTAAAACGTCAACTTTAGTTTCTTTTCTCTTTGAGCATGGCAGACAACGTGGAGCTTCCTGTGCCCCTGCATGCTATCAGGGGCAGGCGGCTTAGCATTATGACGCCAAGTGGGTTGGATTTGCCTTCGCACTTTGCGGCCAAGTTAGGACCTCCTTTTTTATAAAAACTATGCAGCCCCACATCCCAGCTTCAGGTGGACTCCGCGCCCTCTTTGGACAGCCAGCCAAAGTGATGCGAAGCATTTTTTCCGGCTGGGGTGGTTTTGGCTGCCTGGATCTTCGTTTGGCATGCTTTTCTCTGTTCCCACCCCCAAACGGATGCTTTTCAGCAAAACGCCCATTTTTGAGGAAACGCGCGCTTTTCTGGAAACTATCGTTTTCTTGGGACCTTGTGCACAATGGTGTGAAGCAGCAAGATTGCGGCCAAACAATTAGGCCGCACAACGGGCGCAATTCCCCGCACAAGGACGCAATTTCGCGCAAACGGGCGCAATTTCAAGAATCGTAGTTTTTTCCCTCTTCCTTTCGAAGTTGATGAATGCGATCATTTTTTGAGCAAACGGCATGCATGGTTTTCACGAAAACGGACGGATTTATTTCCGAGCAGAAAAAAACGTGCAGTTGGAAGATCCAGGTGGGAAGCTGCACTTGTACCACACACGTTTAGGTTACTTAGAAGGTTCCTCAAACCTGGGAGTCCAACCTGGCTTTCCCTTGAGCGGGTGGAAATCAGCGCAGATCACAGACTTGGGGGCCTCGAGGGTCCGAACAGCAAGGAGCAGAGCACATCTCCAACTCAGCGTCAAAAAGCTGCCCAGATCCATGATGATTACATCGCATTTACTATGTTGTTTGAAAGTCCAATCACCCCTTTTTCAAAGGTCTTCCCATCAGCCACCCCTCGACTCTCTTGGCGGAGGCGGAAATTGAAAAGCCTCATGGCAAACCGGCTGATTCAAATATCACTTGTTCCACCACAGCAAACGGACACCACTACTCTCTCCCTGAGTTCCTGGACTTTAGTCACTTTTTCGGTTTGGACGAGTTTAGTTGCAAACAGATTAAGTTTTTTCATTTACAAATGCACTCGGGAAGTGAGCCCACTTGTTGGGCGATGTTCGGGAGAATGAAGACGCCCCCAAACCCTTGCAGGCAGCGGTTGGGCATACCTCCCGCAAAGCGCTAGGCACCTGATGCGGCGAGCCGCTCCATCCTCACGAAGAAGTGTGCTGGGACCTTTGGCTGGGCAACATGCAAGCTTTCGGCTAGGGTTTCCTTCATCAGAACCAAGCTGCTGACCAAGATGCGTCGACCCTGTGGTTTTCTTGAAAGGTTTTGCATTGTCGGTTCCACTAATACACGTCCACTTGGCTTACGGTGTCTTTTCGTCGGAGTCACGAGGGTGACCGGGCCAGTGGGCGAGTCAATCTTTGGTTTCGGTTTCCTTGTTGGGTTCCTTTCGGTTTTCCTCGGGACTGTGTGGGCTTTCTTCTGAGTCTCCTTGCGGATTTCCGTTGGATATGTTCTCGCATGACCATTGGGAGTGTTTTGTTCTCGCGGAAAAAAATCCTTGCCTTGTTCTTGGGACAAATGTGCACTCAGTCGCCCCAGATATTTTGGAATTGGTCACAGCAAGCTTTACCGGACGTGGAAGGTACTTCCGCAAGTTGGTGCACAAGACGAAGCAGGACGGCTTCCCGAAAAGGCGCTGGCCGGCTCACTAAAGACCGGGCCGGCACGTTTCTGATTCACCAACCCGAACAAATGGCTGCGTGAAGTTTCTACGTAACGGGGCAGGGTACTTAGTAAGTCTGCTTGCCATGGTTGTAAGTCTCCTAAGTGGGTTTTCGCCATGGTTGTTACCCAATTCCTAGTACCCTGCCCCTTTAAGTAAGGATAGTCATGAACCCTCCAGGATGTTGGACAACCTGAAGAACATCAACTGTCCATTTCCACATTCAAACCCAAATGGGACCCCACCCGTCCCAGCTCGTGCCCTAAGAACATCGAAGCGTGCCCTTGCCCCAGGCCAAAAAAAGCCACCACACGAAGGGACATTTGAATTGGAGGCGTGGAGGTTACCTCCGTGACACGGGACCGTGCCAGGGGCACAAAGCCTTCCACACCTCTTAATCCAAAAAGCTACGATTCCCGAACATCGGCATCCTTTTTGGTTTGGTTGAAGAATAGAGGGACCTAATTTACCCAGCGGCTCAATCAACTACTAGAGACATCTTAAAAGGGCACCTATCTTCCCGAAGTGTGGCTTTGCTTGCGCTCTCGCGAGCAAGCTGTTGGATTCAGGTACGTCCTTTTTGAGCTATTGCGTGTGTGGTTTTGCGGCAACCCCATTTGGGTACTAGGTGTTTTCCCTTGAGGCTTTGAGATGCTGGGATTTTGCGGGTCGACTTGTGGTAAGTAGAGATCGGACGTCGATCCAAGCAGCCTCAAGAGTTTGCGCAAGGTCGCGTTCGAGCGCTTGCATGCAATGCAATGAATAACTAGCCAACAGCCATGGGGAATTCTAGGTCTTTTTCTTGGTGTTCTTGCAATTTTTAGGAAGTCACACGCACCAACATGTATTGGCCAAGTTGCATTTGGTTTGATTTGTTTACGGCCAATGCGGTAGGACCACAGCTACTTAGAGTTGATGGGGCACGTTCTTGGAACGCCGTCAGGCTGGCTTGGCGCACATATATGCTTGGTGATAAGCTCGTGACCGTCATGGGTGAAGCCTCTCTTCCCGTTTTGTTTTGTTCAGGTTCCCCTCTACAAGTGTTCAACCCCAAAAAGGCTCCCTTCAAAAAGGGTTACTGGGCGAAGGGCATGTTTGTCAAAGCGGGCCTTGGCTTCGTTAGGACCGTATCGAGCTCACCTTGCCCATGGAGCCGCAGGCGATGGTTTTTTTTTTGAAACGACGGGCGGATTAGGACTTCCAGTTGCGTAAATGATTGTTTGTATCTGTTTTTCCTTTGTTGGTTTTAAGGGGAGCCTATCACTACTGGACAGACTTGCTCATTTTTTCCCCGAGGGACTTAAGCAAACGGAAGAGGACGTTTCCCCCAGAGTGATCCAGAGTGATCCAGAGTGATCCTGACAACTAGCGGATGTTAGGAGCTCCCAATGGAATCCACAAAATGGGCCCACAAAAGGGGGGGCCCGAATAAATAAACGCGCCATACCAGGTGTCAGGCCGAGAAGCACCGCGCAGGACTCGCCCATAATTGGAAAGAGAAAAGGGTGCCATTGTTATGGATTAGGTCCCTGTCTTTAGGACCTCAACAGTCCACTCAAGTTGTTTTTTCCACATGCCTATTATGATGGATTGCGATGTTCCCCCTTTTTGGGGTTTGAGAAGGAACCGGCCATGACTGACAAATCAAGTTAATGTTTCTTCGCATGTTGGAAACTACATTTTCCCGCCTTTCCTGTGCTGTTCGTCGGGCAAACATGCAGAATTGTTGCATGTCCCTGCTGTTTTGACGCCTTTTGGTGGAAATGATTGTGTATGTTTGCATACCACATTCCCTTGCTCCTTTTTTAGCCCAAAGGACCTGTCTTCCCACAGGTGAGGGAAGTTCTGGACTGTATCGGCCAGCTGCTGAGTGGCATGCTGGAGCCCTTCCTGACGCGCCACTTGGGCGAAACCGAAGCTGATGCCGCGCACCGCCTGGGTTCGATGGGCAGGAAATGAGGGAGCTCATTGGCGCAAAGCCGACCTTTTGACCTTTTGGCTTTCTGATTTTGGTCCATTGCCAGTAATGTTCCAAAAGGTTAACCTTAAGAATGTCCAGGTCCTTTGGGCAAGTGAGGGAGGGAATGCCCCCAAGAAAAGCCGTCCCCGATTTGGCTTCCCTTAAAAACATCCCCTGCCGGTTCATTCCCAAAACCCTGAGTCATTCCCTATTGACCAGGCCACCTAAGAAGCCCTCAATTGATTACCCGGTCAATAGTTTCCTGGTTTCAAAGTGGTGCGAACTGAATTCGTCCATCCACAGGATCGCCGGCAAGCCCTGTTCATTTGAAGAACAAAAGGCTTAAGAAGCCTCAGCCAAGAAAAAAAATAATAAAAAATGAGCCATGCGTATGAGGGGACGTCTCTACGGGGGGACCTCCTGTAACCATGGGCAAAAAAAAGGAGCCAGCTCTGGGGCCAAAGAGCGAAATCGGGGCGGTTGAAATTTGAGGGCTCTATTCCAAGTGGGGGAACCGTGAGGGTGTTCCTTTGTCTTTTTTCGGCTCAAGTTGAGCCTTCACTGGTCTTGGCCTTGGCGCCTTGTTTGGTTTGCAATCTTAGTTCCACTCGTGTTTGATTTTGGCCAGGGATTCATAAACCCTTGGCCCCATCACCTCTCGAAAGCAGCCCGTGGGAAGTGTGTTCTTTACCGAGGGAACCCTCGTAGCCAAGTAGTCACAGGGACCGCCGCAAAGGGTTTCCACAGGGGGCTGATGTTGTTTGCGGGCCAGGCACACTTGTGCTTGCCCCAAGCGAAGCGGCAAGACATGTCCTTTCGTTTTTTCAAACTTGGATTTTGCAACCAAGTCCTCTTTTCCCTTGCCCGCAGCCGTCTTTAGAAGCTTGTTGTTTTTCTATCGGGGTTTCTTTCTTGACGATCAGCCTTTGTTTTCCCGCGCGAAATCACAGAGCTTCGACCCGCAGCTCGTCGCTGCAAGGCGCGCAGGTTAGAAGATGGAATTGGGGGCAGGCAGGGCCTTTTTCGGGAGATCTCCATGGCTCCGATTGTTTCTTTCCTTTCTGGACTTGATATCGGTACTTGTTCGGGAAGAGCGTGTTATTGGGAAATCAGCTTTCGACTTTTCGTTGGCCAATCGAAGCGCTGGGAATCGGAGGAAGACGGCTCCCACCACCCTGCCCCTTGCGGCCATGTTACGGGCTTGGGCCAAGTCTTTTTTTGGGGGTTTCGACATATTCAAACACATTGTTTCAACAACCTTCTGTTGGCTTCCCTTTAAAGATGGTGAGGGCCTTGTTGGAGCTGAAACGCATAAGGGCCTAAATAATTAGGATGCCGAAACACTCGTAATGGTAGCTAGGTGTGTCTCAAGATACGGAAACATTACAAATTAAAGGGTTGTTTTCTTTCGAACTTTCGGCTCCCGCTTAAAACCACCCACAAAGGCGGTCCGCCGCGTTAAACACCTCCAACTCAAAAATGTGTGCAATGCTTTGACAGTCTTTCAAAATGCTGGACTCCCTTTCGGCATGTACCGGGAAACCACAAGGACGCCGTTGCCATTTTAGGGCACTGATTCGTATTGAGCGCTGAGGTGAGGCGTTTCTGGTGGACTTGTCCTGCATGATCACCGAGGCCAACGCGGAGCCCCAGCCCCTGCACGCGGACACGCGCCCCGGCTTGCTCCGGTTGCCGGTTTCAAGGGCGTGGGTGTTTGGGTGCATAGTCCAAAACTCACTCCCTGAGTTCAAGGCCATTTTGGTACGTGGCAAGCAGACAGTGTTGCCACTGGTGAGATAAGGTTTTGGACAGATTTTGTGCAGCCCTGCTTGAATCCCACGAGGTTGTGGAACTGAGCGCCAAATGGCCCATGATTTTTAATGTCCGGTTGTATAGTGGAAGCATTTTTGCCTGGGTGGTGGCTTCCTAAGAATGGTCAACTTCCCAAAAGGGTTAGCAGCCACAAGGAGTTTGCATCTCAATCTTTGCCTCGCTTAGCTTTTGAAACCATTTCGGTTGGCCAAAGCTCACTCGCGCGCCGACCTTTGAACCTTTTCGTCTTCGATCCCAGAGGTTGGGCCCAAATTCGGAAAGTGAGGTGCCCTGTTTGTTAAACACAAGCACATGGTTTCTTATTTGCAGGGTTCCACTAAAAAACACATCAACAGCAAATTGGTTTTTAATCACAACCCGATTTCCGGCGGGAAGATGAGGCGCTTCCTGCTTTCTTCAGAGGTCGGAGGCGTCTCAATCCTGGCTCGCTCGAAGCCTCGGAACTAAGCTCTGGCTCCCAATGAGCTTCCTGGGCTCCAGGCACTTTTTGGGAGCACATTTGCGGGAAAACAAAAGCTGGGGCTTTTGGGAAGCCAAAGTTGGTCAGATTTCGAGGATGTTCATGGTTCGTAATGGTCAGAGGGTCAGGGGTCCCTATAGTTCCATTGGGGACACCTGTTGGGGTCAGTGAAACTGAAGTGAAACTGATTGTTCTTTGGGGCCGGTGTTGAAAGCGGACATGTCTTGATGCCTCCAAAAAAGTCTTGGGCCAGCCGCGTTGCTGGTTCTCGGCAGGGAATGAGGGGAATGCCCCCTACAAACCATCCCCTATAGGCCCTAAGGCTTCCTTTGAAAGAATCCCTAGGTTCATTCCCAGCAACCGCGTGCGCCTGTCCGCACGCCTGAGGAAGATCATCGACAGCGGGCTTTTGCCCTTGTTCACGGTGCCCCTTGGCCTCTCGGGGCAGTCGGCAGTCGGGCGTTGGTAGGGACCACCACCATCCAGAGGGCACCAGTTGGTGCCAGTCAGCAACTGGCCCAAATACCAGCTGAATTAGAGAACCTTTTAAAGCAAGAGGTTTGGGGGATCTTCACTGTTCTTGGATCAAGTTTTAGTTTTTGTTTGCTTTTGGTTCTGTTCATTGTTCCTTGCTTTTTGCTGCCATACCACAGGTTGTAAAATATGCATTGCAGAACCCTGCGGCAAATGGTGACGAGTTCACCGCTTTGGGGGTGAAACGAGCGATTCCACCCACGAAGGTCCTGCACTTTTTCCTTTGTGTTCCTTTGCTTCCAGATCGTGACTTTTGGTCATTTACCCAGATTTGCACCGACCGTTTGCTTGGGGCGGTGCATTCAAGGGCGACGATTTGCAAGTATGTTTCTTTTGTACCACAAGTAGATGGAAACTGTTGAGGGTTTGGCTTCGTTTAGGGTTTGGGCTGTTCTCAAGAAATATCCCACAAAACTAGTGATCAGTTTACAATTGGTTCCAACAAAACAGATGCCACTTTTGGAGGTCGCGAGCAAGAAGTGAAGGGAGCCCTGCCATGGCAAGCTAACGACCACGTTTCATGGGATCGCAACCCCTTCTTCACCTTACCCTTTCCCATAGGGGAGACCGTCGGACTGGCTGGCGCTTGTCATTTGAGTTGGAACCTTTGGCAAGACGTCGCATGCGGTCCAAACAGCTTGCCTGTTCTCAGGGCATGAGAGAATGACCCCTATATGAAGAATTGTTCCGTGGGGGATCTCTAGGTTCGTTCCCAAACCCCTTTGGCGATTCCCGCCATCAAGAGTTTGAAGACCTTTCCGGTGAGCACTTGGGAATTGGAGGTTTTTGAAGCTGGTGGGTTGTTTGGGGAGGCAAGTGTCTTTCTGGAGGGCACGTGCTCATTTGGCAGGTCCTCGGCATCGTTGTGGGGGTTGCGATTTTGTGGGTCTGTCTTTTTTCGAGGGTACAACACTTTTTTTTGGGGGGGTGGTTTTTCAGGGAAACCCAAAATCCAGAGGGTTCCCCTGAAAGTGACAGGCGTTCCCTTTAGGGGCCCGGTTCATTGGGGGGGGGGGGACCTCGTATTAGTCCACCGGGTTCGTTCGTGTGTGGGGTCAACATTGAAGCTTGGTCGCCATTTTGGTTTGACCTTCATTCAACCGGTTACTCAACCATGTTCACTGGGGTCATCAAAGAGGCTTCCTCGCAATTAGATTTTAGGTGGCTCAAAGGGAACCTACCGGCAACCCTGAATGGGATGAGGTTAGCGGGAGGAAAAGCAAGGAAGACCGAGGTTCGTGGCCCTTCAGGACATCACCAAGATGATGGGCCCCACATGGCTGTGCCCGCGCACCCACAACGCGGAAAGCGGGGAGCTTGGAAGGGGCTGGAAAGGGAAGTGGAGTGACCTTCCGAACTTCCGACCTCCCAGGTGCAGGTTGACCCATGTGATGCTCTGAAGTACGTGGCAAGCCACCCCCTTTAGGCAAGCCTTCAAACCGATGTCGGGCGGGTAATTATGCTACCTATTGCCACCAATTGTTGGGCAGGGTCCTCGCTATAATCAAAAGCCAACAGTATCTACAAGATTCCACACCCATCCCCCTTTTTTCCACACCGGGGTCACTGGCAAAATCCGAGCTCAGGTACGTGAAGGCTAGTAGGGGAAGGCCCCAATCAGACAGTCTGGGCACCATGCGGCCAGAATCAAAGCCCGCCCGCTTGAGCATCGCCCAAACCGATTCCCATTGGCAACTTTAGGTGGTTTGGTTTTCATCTGGTTTCAATGTTCAATCTCCATGGGCTTGGTTCTCGAGGACCAACTTCACTTGCCCAAAGCCATCAAAATTCACGCCTTGGTTTTCCTATGTCTTGGTATTCCCTGGAGACAAGGCAACTGATCCAAAGATTTGGATGGCTCAAAAGGCCACGGCAACCGCGGCGGCAACGAGCCAGGCCATCTGCGGCTCATGGCGTTGCAGGCGGTGCAGAAGTCCGGATTCGTGGGGCCCAGCCTGGTGCACCAGCCGGGGGCCCCCAGCACAAACGACTCGTCCAACGGAAGTTGGGGATTGGAGGGGTTGGAAATAATTGGCTTCCTTAGTAAAGTAAAGGGGAAGCCCCCGGAACCCATGATTGGACAGATGGCATTCAAGCTGCGACCCACTTTGAGTGGGGAAAGCCCCCGTTTTGGATTCCTTCCCCCCCTTTCTTTTTCCGGCGGGTGTGTGTGTGTGTGTGTTTTGCTTCTCTACGGTTGGTTTGGAGGGAAATGAAAGGGAAAATCACACATTTTGGGGGGTCCCCCTGTTCTGACAAATGACCACATTAGTCAGGGGCGGTCTGCTGTTCTAACAATCAGTGTCCAGCTTGCACCAAAGGAGAATCATGTGTGTAGCATCGCAAAGGAGGCTTGTTAGAACCTATGTTTGGTCCCTGTGGTGGCCATTTGGAAACCGGGACCTCCAAAAACTGCACATCCCGAGTTCCTACTCAAAGCGGCAGGGACTTAGTAGGTGGTTAGCGGCCTGGTTAAAACCCACTTAGACTTATAACCATGGCTTCTGTGGGTTATAGCCCGGCTTATTAGCCACTTACAAGGTACTCTGCCCCTTTCATCGAGGAGACTTACAAAATGGTAAAGTCACTGAATGAACGCATCAAAGACTGAGGGGGAAACAAACTATTCAAGACCGGGACCAAGCTTGGGGCTGCAGGGCGGGGTTTGGATACATATTCAACATTTCGTGACCCACTGGTGTAAAGACATTTTGGGCATGGAATGTATACAGACTAGATGCATTTTTTGGCGGGGGTCCTTGTAAGGGAGCCATGACCATGGCTTGTGGGATTTGCCTCGTTGGGTCGTATATGAATACCAAAATCCTGCACCACCTCAGAAACCCTGCAATGATCATGCCAACCAACGTTCTTGTTTCAGCCATGGTTTCATTGCGTGGTGCCAACGCATTTCGTCCTTCTACAGTATTTGGACATATCGGGGTCGTGTTCTGTTTATACGGAACGGCGCACTTTGCTAAACCAGAACGTGCTGAATCGGAAGCCTTCGAGGAGTCCGGTCAGTCCGTCGTTTGGGATCCCTACGCGCTTGGGTCATATGTTGACCCAGGCCACCCAAAGACTTGGGCCCCTCCAATATCCGCAAGTCAGGGGTCAACAAACCTGCTTGGGGATCTTTGGAGGTGTGAGTGCCTGGCCGAGGTTCGGCGGCATGCCCGCGGACTGCGAGACGGGCTCGGTGATCTGCATGAACTCCCAGCCCCCCGGCCTGACTCGGGAAATGTCTGGAAGGTCACCCGAAGAATCGAAGGAGAAAACCTTGGTGGTTCAACCTGCCTTCCGGTGCCTCAGGTTTCTAGTTTTTTGTTTTCTTTTTGGTTTTTGTTTGGAGGTTGGTGTGGAAACTGCTGGACAAAAGATTGAGGCAACCCAATGCATCAAAGGCACAACACATTCTTCATGTTTAAGTTGCTCCAGCCGAAACTTGTGCAGAATCCGAATAGTTAAAAGACCCAGATTGGAGCGGGCTGGCTTTCCCTAATTACAACCGCTGCGAGCGTTTCAAGGTTACACACCTTGACCTGGGACCTTCAATGAACACGTGCGCATGTCCTACACACCGGCATAAACAATCACACACACAGAAACAAACGCACAAGCAAGCGCCCAAACACACACAAATACAGACACAAACCCACACACCCACACAAGCACACACACACACACACAAACACACAAACACCCAAACAATCAAACAATCAATCAATCAACCAACCAACCAACCAACCAACCAACCAACCAACCAACCAAAAAAAAAAAAACGAACAAAGGACCGGACGAGAAGCAAACATACAAGAAACTCCTTTGGGCTGAGTCGAGCACACGATGCCCTCAAACCAACCAACATGGAACTCACCAAAGCGTCCCTGTCAGATCAAACTGGCTCCATGTTAGTGCTTGATGTTCAAACGTTCTGCTCAGTAGGTTACAACCATGGTGATAAGTTTGGGTTGGTTCGCTTATTCACTGTGGTTCTGACCCACTAAGTGTGGCACTGCAACTGGATGGGAGGCTTACCTAAGAACCGACCTTGACCCTTTGGATTCCGAATTCCCCGAAAGTAAACCTTTCACTTCCATTTTTTCCGGAGTGATCTCCAGGAAGTTTGCCCAACCCCTGGTTTTGAGGGTATTTGCTCATTTCCCGGACGGTCTCCTGGGGACGGTCTCTTAGAACACTAAAGGCGAGTTGTGTGTGTGTGTGTGTGTCTGCTTTTTTTTTCGGGGTCCCCCAAAATGGCGGCGTTCTTTTTGGTGTTTCCCTTTACGTCCACCAAAAACAAAGGAGTTAGCCCTAACAAAGGACTGGCCCCTCAGGCACGACTTGCACCGAGGCTTCTGCACTGCGGCGGCGGCCAGGCTTCAGCAGAGGAGGGAGGCCAAAGGCGGAGGCTCCTTTACGCTCCTCGGATCTGAAACACAGCTTGAGGGTCCCGGTTCTTTCTTTTGCGGGTGAGGTGTGAAGCCTTTTTCCGAATTGCAAACTCAGCACAAGCTGGGGTTTCCTTGACGCCCTACCAAAACAGAAGAGCTTTTGCTGCTGGACTCGAACTCAAAGCGATTTGCAAAAGGCGCCACTTCGCTTCGCTGTCCTCTCATCAAGTAGTGCGGCTTCCCTCTAAAATGAGCACCCCCCCCACAAACAACTTCACAGGTCCTTGGTTCCAACCGTACGCCAAGAATCATATGTTCAGACTGTGTTTCACATTTGCCTAAGAAGCCAGCCGCAAATTCTGCAAGTTCGCCAAACCCTCTATAGTTTGGGCGGGGATTTGCGCCCAACTGAAATAGATATTCACCCGCTGCTTTGCGCATGAAAACTATGCCGATCGGACAACTTCCTCCAAGTTCAACAACTTAGGGCATTACCATGGTGTTTTCGGGACCAACCCCAGCCCTGGTTACAACCATGCTTAGAACCAACCTTCGTAAGTCCAAGCCCAGTGGCCCCGGTTACCTGGTTCGCTCCACCAAACGCCTTCCCTTCCGCCTTCGGTCCGCCGAAGAAGCCGCACGGAACGGCAGAGGTCACCTTCTACCGCCCGGGCAACACCCCGGCTGAGCACTCCTTGAGCCCGGGCCCAGGGGGGGTTGGGAATTTGCCGCTGGCGACACGGCAGTGGGTGAAAAAAACATGTACCCAACATGGGAGCCCTGGTAAATGGAAACATGGATCAAAAATTTGAGGTATGGTGGTTTAATTTTGACCCACAGCCAAATGGCAACTAACAGAAAGCGAATCGGCGCCTGGGCTGTGTTTTTTTTAAGGGTTGCTTTGGGGTCTTTAGGCTCTTGTTTTTGTCCTCAACAGCTGAAAGTTGTGGTCTGTCCGGGGTACCATTTGGGCTTCTTATTGGAGCACCGGGTGGAGAGGGGGCAAAATGGAGTCATCCACCATCATCCACCTCTCGAACGACATTTTTTTTAGTAGGCTTGCTATGAAACAGATTTTGACAGGACGCTGTTGTACCCGCTGTTGCGTTCTGTTTCCTCGCAAAATTGGAATGAAGCCGGGAACCAAATTATTGATAACAGTTGTCCCGTCTAACAAAGGTTTGTAAGGCGCGGCCCACCCTATGTTGGAGGCCCTTGCTGATAAAGGACACCCCCTCCTAATTTGTCACGCAAGCTCACCCTTTGCGTAAAACGAGCTTTCCACGATGAATGTCCTTGACTCGGGATCCCTTGCTTTAAGGTTTGGATTTGTCGTAAACACTGCAGCCGGGTATGTCCTGTTTAGGCGGCCCCACAGAATGTTGGTTTTCCTTTGGGCTTCCGGCTTCCCTGTAAAATCAAAAAAAAAGCACCCCAACAAAAACAAGAGACGCAGATAGAAACTAACATCACCTCTCACCGAGGGGACGAGCTGGTGGGTCAATACCGCCTGGGCGACTTCGACGGCTTGCCGCCCCCGAACTGCGAGCCGGACGCGGAGTACGACAGTGCCACGGCGTTACACGCGCTGGTTTGACCAGCGGGTTCGGCAGGCGGAGTCCGCCCTTTTATGTTTGGGCAAGTTGTCTCTCAGTTTCCCAGCCTTTGGGCTCCGAACTTTTTGGGAATACTTATTTTTTTGGTAAACAACAAAGCCGACACAGGTTTCCAATTCTACTCTGTGCGGGAATTTTACTTCTCGTTTCAGCGCAAGCGTTGGGCCCTGAAGGGCTTCTTTCGAAAAGAGCACGGGTGGGGATGCTGCCAAGAGTTGGTATTAGACATGTCGCTAACATCAGATATTAACTTTGTTGAGTCAGACGGACAGACAGACCGACGGCAGACAAAGACCTACCTGCCTGCCAATCTGCCTGCCTGCCTGACTACCTGCCTGCCTGCTTGCTTTCCTGTGTGCCATACCCGTAGTAGTTGTTTGCATCCAACTTTGGCCATCCTCTTTACGTACCCCTTACATATGCCTTACAGGTGGGTTATGTAAATGTTGGGTACATCAGCAACGCCTTAGACAGTTTGTCTAGGAATGCTGAACTGAAGGCAGACCAGAGAACATCTTTCGAACTTGATTTTGTCCAGGATTTTGGCTCAGCCAGACGTACCTATAAGACCGAACAGAGGGCGCTAATAGCGATTGCTACTGGTTTCCTCCTATCATGACTCTTAAATCTACAACCCTCTTGAAGGGAGGTCCTGTTTTCTTCCCTCCAGCGGTTTCAAAGGCAACCCATGAAGCCAACGACCGTTGTATTTTGTTATATCGCATTGGGCCAGTTTCTGGGTGCGAGCTACCAAAGGAGATGGGATCGCTACAGGTGCATTCCCCACTCCTTGGTGTTTTCCGACTTGGAACCAGCAAGAGGTTGGCCTGCCACACATTTTCCCGAAAACATGAAGGGGACAGCTGCTGACCACGTCGGAATTTGTGGTTTGAGGGTTGGGGGAGCGTCTTTCTTGCATTGATTCCCTACCGAAGACTGAGGGAATCACTCCCATGAACAATGCCCAGAAATATCTTCCTTCGGTGTCAAGGGAGCCAAGGAGCTAGGGGTATCCAAGTTTGCCTTTTAAAGAGGGAGCCTTTGAGAGCTACCAGTTCTGTGAGCACAAGGATCCATCGGTCCAAATTTCAATCCAAAAAGGAACAAATCACAATTTTCGGGGTTTTCCCAGGGTACCCCAACAAAAGACCTATACCCATATAGCTTCCTTTCAGAAAAATCCATTTGGTTCCTTTCCCCCGCCCCCCCCGCCCCCCCCGCCCCCCCCGCCCCCCCCTCCTGTTCCCCGGTGGTTTTTCCTTTCGGACACACCGAGGCCTCTTCGTGGCGGCGAACCGCCGGGAGCTCGAGGCCATGCTGCAGTTCGCCATCTTCCTGCGCCGGCGCGCCTTGGCCGAAGCGGGGGGAACCGGCTCGCTGGGGAACGGGGGGGGGGCGGTTCCTTCCGGGCGGTTCGGTCGGTGGCGGGTTTGCTCCCAGGGCAAAAAAGTTAAGGGTGGAAGCCTCACCTTTCTTTTTGGGGGGATTCGGACCTCCCCAAAGAAGTTGGTGTTCATTCTGTTTTGGCTTGTCTGGAAAACCGCAGAAAAAGGGGGTACCAACTCAAAGCATGACATGCGCACATGGGCAAGTCTTGGGACGGTCTTGGGCTGTGAGTGTTTTTCTTTTCGGGGGTTTTGGGTTGACTCAGAGTCAACTCTTGCAGGCAACCATGCCATGCTAGCTTCCTATTGATCCAAGCCAACTCAAGACCCATCCTGAGCTTACTCTCCCTTGGCTTTCTCTTTGGGATGTAGGGTGTGGGGTTTTCCGGCTTTCACCCCCCAACAAAGAAGTCGAGTTTGCGAGGCCTCAGCAGTCTTAGGGGGAAGAACATGGCAAGCATTCTGCCAATGGATGATTTCTCTTTCCGGTATGAGCCTTTCAGCGGAAGCATCGCAAAACGGGTGAAGCGCAAAGTTTCGGAAGCGCGAAATCCCGTCCGACCTTTTCGGCCTTGTTTTCGTGAGGCCCTGAACCCACGGCCTCACGAGGGTCACCGCGGCCGCAGGTGTTTTTCAAAGCGACATCTCTTGACCTTTGGGTTTCCCGTGGTCCACGTTCAGGTCGCAAAAGGGTGTCTTGGAGTTTCCAGATTTGGGCAAGCAAGACCAAGATTTGCCAAACACACATAGGACCACTTCCGCAAAAGCAAGCAAGGAGGGAGAAATGGGCTCACTTCCCTGACTCCCTAAAGGGAAAAGCAGCAGAAAGGAAGGCGCCACATTTGGCAATGAAGGTACTCTGGCAATCCATGAACATGTTGCTGCCGGGCTCCCTTTGAAGCAATTTCAAGGAACGCCAACGAAAGTCGCACAGCCTTCCCGTAGACAACCTCATGGCAAGCATCCCTCCCCAAAGACCCCCTTTGGACAGCCTAGCCAAGGGCTGGCCGCGGGAAGGGGGAAGGCCTTGGGGGGAAGGCCTGGGGGGTGGGCCCACCATGGAAACACACAAGGCGCCTGCGCACTGTCCATGGTGGGAGGCCACCCTTCCACAATGGGCTTTGGGTTCCAAACGGGAACCCCTGCCCTTTTTGAATGAGGGATGTTTTGGTTTTCAGCAATGGCTCCCCCCAAAAAAGGCTGCTCTTTGAGTGGTAGCCCCAGTTTCAGCTTTTTGCAGCCTTCCCCCCTGGGCTCATGATTTTGACTCTTTCTGGGGGATTTCCCTTTCTCACCCACCTAGGGGGTGACTTTGACCGCGAAATGAGGCAAGTCTCCGCAAAAAGGCGGGTTCTTTGAGTGGTCGCCCCAGTTGTTGTTAGTTTTTTCAGCCGTCCCGGCTCACGCTCAGGCGCCGACCGGGGCGCGGTGATGTGGTTCAAGCGCGCCAAGGGCAAGGGCCACCCCCTGGCGTCCATGCATCTCGCAGCGCCCCGGTCGGAGCAACAGACAAAAGGGGCCTGAAAAAATGAGCCTTGACTTATTCTCTCACTTCCCGAGTTCCTGGACTTTGGTTACTGGTTTTGGGTTACATTACTTTATTTGTAAATAACACGAGTGGTTGCTTTTTTTGGCCAGTCCACCCAGGGTTGCAGTGGAGGACCACTTTGACGGAGCGTGAACTTGATCTCCCACAAATTTGGAGATTTGGAGGGGACACTTTCTCAGTTGCTCCCGAGCTGAAAGGGGATCGACCATTTTTGCGGGGTCCACGTTTGGCACCATCTTACATTTGGTCCCCTTTGAGATCCACAAGCCAGAAGGCTGCTGTTTTTCAGCATAGCAGTGGTGGTAAGAGGGGGGTTGGCCCCGTAACATTTTTTTCCGCGGGGAAGCCCAGTGAAGGGGAGGTCTTTAGGTGAGCAATGGCTTACCGGAGGTGACCCACTTGACATCTTCCAACGGCTGGTGAATGGCATGAAGTGGCAACCCCAAGCTGTTGGCGAAACTTCCCAGGGGCGAAGGATGCTGCCAGAGATGAGTTGTCTTGAGGGCTGCCCGGGGAGCAATGGGCGGGTACCTTGCTTCCAAAACCGGAGGGGCGCTCAGGCCTTAAAGACTTCATGTTTGGTAGAAAAGGGCTTTGCATCCTTTGGAGTGCCCCCTTTTTTGTCCACATGGAATCGAAATGAGCCGTGACCCCTGCTGACTTTCCTTCAACAATCCGAAGTGCCCCCCGAATGCCGTTGCCAGACTCAACGAATTTCATGCGTGCTCATTTGGGTTCCTTCATTTTGCCTCTTCAACCGTCAAGTTGACTTACTTCTTCCCATTCCTCTCACTCAGGAGATCTATCTCCAAGGCGAGCTGGGTGTCTTCAAGGACATTTGGCCCCTGTCCACGCGCGCTGTTGTAGAGGCGGCACGTAGGAAGAAGCCATAGGTGTCCTTGCAAACGCGGTTTCTGGCACGGATTCTCAGCTGGTTCCAAGAATGTATTGAACAGTGCCACTGTCTCATTGATCATTGTTTTCCAAGGAGTGCCTAAAAAGGCGGTAATAACCCTTGTTATCACCCACTTACCACGGTTGTAAGTCTCCGTTCAGTGGGTTATAACCAGGCTTACTAACCACTTACCAGTACCCGATCGCCCCTTGAAGTAGGTGGAAAGCTGCCCTTTGGCTGGGGCCTTTTTTGACGTTGTCATCGACCCCCTGCCGTGCGCACTCCGGCAATGCGCCCATGTACTGCGAAGGAAGCGAGGGTCCCCGGCTGATCCTATGGCCCGACCCGCTTGCTCGCTTGCCGAGGACCCCATCCAGGCCGAGCACTTCCGACAGGAAGGCCTAAGGCTCTACGAGGCCCTCAAGGCAAGGTGCCGGTGACGCTCGCTCGCTGGGCTGGGGATATGACCAAAAGCAACAAGGCGACCTAAAGAAAATGCAAACCATGGGTTGTGGGTGGATTCCAGTACCAGATTGACGCGGAACCTCAAGACTCAGAGCCACCAATTATTGCATCAGCCGCCGCTGGGTCTACCTCGCCCGCCGGTCGTGCAGGCGCGCGCAGCTTCCTCGGAAGCTGAGTCCAAAGAGGAGCCCAAAGATGAAGAGCTGGCAAGGCGGGAGTGAGCCAAAAAGACGAGCTCACCGAGTCGGAGGGAACAAGAGCTCACCTCACCCACAATGAAAGTTCTTCACTCGGGATTCCCTTTTTCCCAGTTTGAGAGGTATGGCTAAGCATGGGAAACTGCCCAACAAATCTGCCATTGTCATTTGAAACGCGTTTACCCGTCGACCGTTCTGAAAGGGTCGTTTAAGAGCATCCCTTCAGCGCCTTGGATGTGGTGATGCACCAGAGAAAAGGAAGCCGCCAAGTGTTTTTGCCAAAGGGACACCGCGCATTATTCAAATTTCCTATTCTCATTCTCGAAGTGGATGCTTGCTGACGGATGATTGTAACTCTGCTGTCTACATGGGTGCTAATTTCTTGTGGGACCTTATCATGTCGAAGGTCTTTGTTGGGACCATCCATGCGGGCAACTCCTAGAGAACAAGATGCACCTGCATGTTACAACTTTTGGGAACGTAAATTGATGAGTCTTGACTCTGTTTGTTTGAGATGTTCCTTCTACCCTCGGCGGGGCACCTTTTCCTGGCTAGTCTGGGCGTTGACTAGCCCACAATTTTCAATCTTCAACTCAACCCACCTTGGTTTGCCTGACATGCTTTGGCCTTTCAAGTTGTTCAGTGGTTGAACAAAGGCCTGCCGCCCATCGTGCGGCTGAGGCCGCGGTTTTGTTACGACCTTCCGCAAGTGTGTCCTCCCTTTGAACAGTTTTTCGCTGGGCGCCCGTTTTCTGTTCTGCCCAGGGCCCCCAAACCGCGGACGGCTTCCCGTCCCCGGCCCACCGGCAGTCGGCAGTTCGGGGCCTCTGAGGCCCTCGGCAGCCGGCTGAGCGCCACGCGGAGAAAAAACTATCACCGAACGTGGGTGGAGGCGTACTTTTGATCGGCTCGTTTGGTTAGAAATAGATGGGTTCCACCGGTTCAGATTGGTCAGATTGGTTGTATAACCAATTTATCAGGGAAACCCATCTATTTTCTCAAAAGGACACCTATGGATGTGCGGGGAGGTGCTGGGAAGCATTTGGGTGTCTAGCCCCATGAATTCAAGGGCCCAGGCTGCAACAGAAGGCAAACTCTTGGTTTCTCTTTTGCCGACGAACCATCCAGAGCCCCAATAAGGGTTGTACCAAAGATTTTCCTAAACAACCAGGCCCTGGTCGCCATGAAAGAGAAGTCAAAAGGAGGCTGCTTAAACACTTTTGGGTTGAACATGTTGAAGCAAGGGCCAACACTGGTATGTAGAGCGAGTAAAGCTTAGTGGGCCATCAGAAAATAAGTCCGCTTCCCACCGAATACCATGTCAGGGCACATCAATGAATATTGACCGTGCCAAGCAAAGGACTTGCAATGAGAAAACTAGTCTTGCACGCTCAAGTCATGCAAGTCTTTGTGAGTGGTTTGGGGCTTGAGGTGGTTGGGAACATGATTCGCAATGCCCATCTTTTGGACCCTTGTCCGATGGAAATTTCGATCAGCCACGAGAATGGTCTTCCAAACCATGATGAGGCTAATCGACTCAGTTTTTCCCCACACGTTGCGGGTCCTTTGTTTTCAAAGGGAGCAGCTGAAACCTACATATGCGTTTTTTTTTGGCGGGGGGGTGCTTCGGTTCAGCTGGGGAGCCCAACCTATCTATCTGATCTACATTGGCTTCGAGCAACGGGCGGGGCTTTACTTCTGAGCTCGGCAACGTCTGGCCGGCCGAGACGACGTCTTCTTTTGCTCGAGCAGTCCATGAGTCGAGTCCAAGGCCTTTAGGAGGTGTTTGCAGGGAGTGCCAGGGCTCTAGGCCTCAGTCCTCACTTGTAAGCGAATCGGCCGGATGTGACCTTTTGGTTTTCCTACTTTGGCAACCATTATACCGCGAACGGCTTCAAGGCAGCACATGCACGGCAAAGCAGTGAAGTGCGCATTTTGGCAACCGTTAAAACAGCAAAGGTGACAACAAGTTAACCTTTTATTTCTGGGTTTATCTGGGTCCTTTGGGCAAGTGATTTCTTTTGCGCGGCTCATGCAGTGGTCTGATTAATTTGCCATGGAGCCAGCGTGACCTCATTGTGATCGCGGTTCCCAGCCATACTAGTAGACTTTAGATGTTTTGCTCGTACCGTATTACAGGGACTCGTGACAAACCTTGTCCCACTGTCTTCTACACTTCTAGCAGGGTATCAACGAGCCTTCCATTCGTCTTGGCATAGCCTTCCAAGCTATTTGGCCTCCGATTCCTCGCCATGAGCGGCGCCCGGGTCTCAGTGAGGCTAGCCGCACGGCGTCAGCGGGGATGAGGCTGGATTGGGCCCGCTGCAGGAATTCCCCCGTTTCGCCTGCCTGAAGCGAACAATAAGTCGTTAAGGTCATTTCCTAGAAGCATGACAGTGGCTGCAGTTCCCATGTCTAACGCTCAACATAAATATAGATGCCTTTGAAAAAGGCGAAGTCTTCGGCGAAGTCATGTAAAACCAAGCTCCTTTCTTAGATGTTCTTTGAAAACATAGGGGTTGCAATCCAACTGATCAAAGGGCACCTACAAATGTTGTTCAGGCCTCTTTTCAAGTGTTCCAACTGGAAAGTATAGGCCTAGGGCTGGTTACTTAAGTGGCGATCGGGTACTTAGTAAGTGGTCAGTAAGCCTGGTTATCACCCACTGAACGGCGACTTACAACCATGGCTAATCATAAGCCAGGGTTATTCTCAAAGGGTTTGGTTACAGGAACATCTACAGGAAATGGCCCCAACACACCCTAAATAAGGTGTTTTCCTGTAGAATGTCCTGTAACCCAACCCTTTGATATTTCCCACTTACTAAGCACCCGATCGCCCCTTTAAGTAGGGAAAGAATTCGGAGCCGGTTTTTGCCCATTTGCTTCAGCTTCCAAAAATCATAGCTGGCCTTTGCCCCCCCCTTTCCCCCCCGCCCCCCCCCAAAGCCAAGACTCCCGTTGGCGGAAATGAATACTGTTGTTATTTGCCCCTGTTGGTTTTGTAAATGGATCGATTTCGCAGCTGGACATAGTTGTTTCATCTATTCCAGGCGGCTTGAGCCGGCACTTCTTTGAAGAGAACAGAGCCAGGCCACAATCAAAACCGTGGAATTGGTCAGCTTATGTCAGCTAAAAAGTGGTAAAACCGAAATCAACAAATACCGACCGATTTCGGGGCCCCGCGGACCACTCGACTCGACTGAGCTGAATGCCGAGGTCGCGGAGGCCACTTTGGAGGCGGTGCTCAGCAGAGGCTTCGAGAGGCGAGCCGAAAAAATGGTTTCCGGCGGCTGGTTCCAACGGATTGCTGCGACCTATGCGGCAAGCCATTGGCCACTGGCCTCTGTTGGCCTTTGTTGGCCTTTGTTGGCCTTTGTTGGTGCGTTTGGAGCAGGCAGCCCGGCTCTCTCAATTGTCCAAGGTGCTACCCAATCCTGAGAGACGAAAAGGTCTAGGCCTAAGCCTTGTTTTTTGGGCCAATGGCTGAGACACATCCATATGTTTTCATTTTTCAATGTTATGTATATATGTATGTGTTGTTCCTTCTTTGTTTTCAAGGGCGCATAAAGAGAAATGCTGAGACCCAGGGTTCTTTCTTGCAGATTTTCATGTCGTACCGGGAGGGTTTTGGGCGGGTCAGGTTCTACTTCCTGAGCGATGAAGGGGATCTGTGTGTGAAGCGGCATCCCAACGGGCCGCCTCGGCATGTCGACGCCTACGTCCCGGAAATGCACGTCCGAATAAACCATGACGCCGTGTTCCTCGTTTTGCTTTGGGAGTCCCAAAGGGTGGTCCAAAGAAGCCAACTTCAGGCCGCAAGATAGGCTTGTACTTGACGCAAAGGGGAGGCAATGTTTGGAGTTGCCCAAGGAGTGGGCGGCCACGTCGTTCGATGGGAGATATTGTTTGGTCGGGTTTCTGCTTTGGGCGGAGGTATTAAGGGCGCCTGTTTGAACCCATCTTCTTTTGAACCTGGTCAGATTCCATGCCCCCCGTTTCAGAACATTTCGCTGGAGAATGATCAGAAAGTGCTAGTGTTTCGAACTGAACAATGTTACAGTGTAGAAGCGTCTTTTCTGGGGGCAGCTGTGCAATCAGAAGACTTGGCATTGAAGCTTTGATTCCATCTAACTTCGGGAAACTGCTAATGGCTGGCTACTCGACCAATCTGACAGTTCGATCTTGTGATCGATCTGCTATGTGCCAAACACTGAGCAGAAAAGTCAGGACCTCGCTCGCTTCCTTCGGAGTTGTTCCATCATCAATCCTCCCTCCGTTGCCACAAAGGGAGTCGATCATTGCAACTCATAAACATTCAGAGGAGAGCCCAACATTGAAGCCTGATCTTTTGGGGGGGCTGTACCATTTCGGGGGGAATCCCCTTTTGAATGCACGGCTGGGGACGGCCTGGCTGGGGCGATGTTCGCACAAGGGACGTGGAGGTATGAGCTATCAACATATAGAACTCGGGCTCTTTCCAGACATGTTCATGCATTGCTCTTGTGGGGGGGGGGGGGGGAGCCCGGCCGGGTCTTCACGGCTTTGCGTTTGCAGCCAGCAACTGGCAGATTTAGGAACCTGAGCCTCGCACCAAAAGCAGCGAAGGGAAGAGGACTGTGACGAAACCAAAACGACGTTCAGAGGCGCCAAGCTGCTTGCTGTCCCAGGCTCCTAGTGGTGGGCCTTGCACCTAGCCATCCTCTGCGATCCGGATCCGGAAGCGTGGTGAAGCTGGAGTTTCACGAGGACATCAGCGAGAAGGAGGCCCGGAGCGTTGAGGTTCCCGCCTCCCATTTGTTTCCCCAAAAGCCATATGGCCCTTATGCTGGTCAGTAGGGAATGAAGGAATGAAGCTGGGGGTCCCTTAAAGGAAACCACGATTTGCCGAGGGGAGGTATTTGGAATCCCGGATAGTTCAAAGGTTCCGACACCAAATGGACCAGGCCTCCAAGGAATGCCAAAGCAAGGAGTAGATACGGACGACTCCTGAAGCCCAAAAAATAGGTTTGTTCTTTTTGTTATCCTTTCTTTGGTAGAAAGGGCACCTGCAAAGCCACCAGGAGGAGCCGTAGCCCTATGGGAAATCCCGTCAGGTTAAATGTTTAGGGTATGGGGTGAATCCCTTGAAACCGCTGGAAGGCAACGTCTTGGTCCTTTTCGGAGAGAGGGTTTCAACTGTCCGATCCGACATCCTTGCCGGCGACCGAGCCAAGGAAGCGGCATGAACATGTCGAAGTCGTTGCATAGGGTTGTAGCGGGTTCCTAGATCCCCAGACCCGCAGTCGGGCTTCCCGTCAAATGCACGCTTCTCATTCCCGTGGGATTGAAGAGCTCATGATTAATGTAGCCTTGTTTGCCCTTTTTCCTGAAGTCCTAGTGTGGCAAAGGTGCTGTTGTCAGTTCCCTTATTTTAGGCCCTTGTTGAATATTTAGGCCCTTGTTGAATGTGCTTTATGTGGTTCGGGGCACCGTTGAGGCAGTTACCTTGAAAGAAGCTTTCAATTTTCCATTGTACTGCTGTTGATTGCAATGCTGGATCGATTCGTTGCTCCTGCTAGCCCACCAAAAGTGGTGTCTCATCAGAAACGCATTATGTTTTAAGTATGAAGCAGAATCCGCAGGCTCGTGCCAATCAGGGGCGGTTGCCCTCGTAGCAATGACAGGAGCGAGGTTGGGGGTTCCTTTGATTACTTCAAGCGAAAGGCCGTTGGTTCATATGCCCGGCAAAAAGCACAAAAACAAACAAACACCTAGGAGACTTATACTCATGGCTTCTGTCGGTTACCATGCTTATTACCCGGCATTACCTGATGCACTGACGCACCGAATCGGTTGTCCCTTTAGGGCTTTCGGAATCCGAAGTCACGCTCGCCATGGGGTTTCAGCTCCCAAGCGACGTATCTTTGACGCTCGCCAGGCCCATGGCAAGCGCGGGCGTGCGGGGAGCCCGGTGCGAGCCCAGCGGGTTGGCGCGGTTCGAGGTCCAAGTGCCACCGCTCGCTGGAATCGAGAAAAATTGCGTGTTGTTGTTTTTTGCGCGGCAGCAATGGTTTCTGTTGGAGAAAGGGCTTCCCTTGACAATCACCTGCCAAAGAAAACAAGGTGCCTCTTTTTTCCCATTGAAGTCCACTGGAGTCCTGAGGTCTGTATTTTGTGGTTGCTTGACTGCTCTTGTCTTTTGTAATCTTTGGGCTGTTCCTCGGTGGGCTGTGAAGGCTGCAAAGTTGTTTGCCACCTCTGCATACTCCAGAGATCCTTCGATTTCTGTTGTTAGAACTGTCCATGGCCGGTAACGAAGAATTAGGGATCACCAGTTGTTGAGTGGCATCCGTTTTCCCTTTGTGTTCGGTGAGTTCCCCTCCAAAAGTTGTCAGCCCCAAACACAGTTCCCCTTTTCTTGCTCCTTCTTTTGGGGCACTGGTTGCAGCTGGGGAGCCTGCCATTGCAGGCCAAATCTGGCACGCTGGTGCTCCAAAGGGGTTGCTCTGAAACATCGCTGACATGCCGGGCACAGAACCACCAATAACAGGTTAACTCTACTTAGCAGAACTTATCAGCGGGTTAGTAGCCTAAACTCACGATCTTGGCCGAACAGCCAAGTTCCAAAAGCAAAGTCGTCTGCCAAAAGGAGCCTCGGCACTTCCACGTTTGCTGGTAAGAGTTTTGACCAGAACTGTCGCCTCCAAAAAGGATGAAGTCAGGGCAGGGGGAGTCGAAACATTTCAACATGTGTTTGGCAATGTGCAGTGAAGGAAACCGCAGGATACCGCCGGATGTGAACTTGATGAAGCCAACTCCAATCACGTTGTTGGTGTGTGTGTGCGTGTGTGCCTGTCTTTGTTCGTGGCGTGTTCGCTGCGTGTTTGTTTTGTATTATTTGCTTGTGTTGTCTCTTTATATATCTTTTGGGGGGAGAGGATCGGGGCCGTGAGATTTGCAGTTAGCTGCTAGCCGCTAGCTTCGGATGAGGGCGGCGCCAACGTCAGCCGAAAGACGGTCATCGCAGAGATCTCTTTGCAGGACTGGTCCGGTCGTAAAACAGCCAATGGTTGGCAGGCAAGGAGCTGGGGGTTCCAAAATTGTTTTTTAAAGGGCGAGCCTATGGGAGCTACCAAGAGTTCTTCGTTAGGGACTTGGTACGTAAGGCAGCCTTTTCAGCACCCGGTTCTTCAGGATGTTCCTTACCAATGCTGAGGGTTATCCTCCCATCGGTGCAAGCGGGCCTTACTTGTAAAAAAAGCCTGGGAGCTGCCCACCCTCCCCTGTGAATCCTTGGAAGGACGGAAGGGCTCAGTAAGGAGTGGCGCGTGTTTACACCTCATCGCCATGTGCCTGGACCCAAGTCAAAATGGAAGCCGGACATGGCATGCCTGATGGTTGGACAGGCGCTGTGTGTATTCTTGACCTTGGACGGATGTTCGATGCTATGCCAGGCAAGCGTCGGTAGAATGCCGCCAGGATGCCCAACATTGCACTGTGCTTGTCGCAAAATGTGCAGCTCGCGCATATCGCCCACGCCACACATACCACCCTTTTTTCCTTTCTTAGAGGTCACGAAGTTGGGGTCAAATCGAAGCCAGTAGCCTCGCTTCAGAAACGGGATGAGGGAGCGGGCAAATGAGGGTAGTGCCCACGGACTGAAGTGCTTCAACCGAAGGCCTGAATCGCCGATCGCACATTCGCAAGACCAAGGCGCCCTTTTTCCAAGGTCCTCCACCTCTGTCGGCGATGGAATCGAAGGAACCAAACACATCAGCATAAACTCGTGATCAACATGAAGCCGCCTCCGTGCCATCAACCCTCTTGACTATAGGGTGTTTAGACCAGCGGGCCGAACATAGCCGTGTCCATCACCCCCTAGGGAAAGTCCGCCATGTCCGGCTTCCACTTCTGTCGAGGGCTTGAGGTAGCAACTTGCACCGTATGGTGTGCTTTCCAGTGAAGCCTCCGTCAGATGGGGAGCCAGGGTAGGCTTGGAATGTGCTACAGGTGAGATCCGTGGTTGAGTTTTTGCTGAAAGGCAATGTTCTGCGATAGCAAGGAATCCCTCTTTTATGTGACAATGTGCGAGATGGGTCACTTTGGTATCGCATAAAATGCTAGACAGCTATGTGTTTGGTAATAGTTTCGCTTGGCACTCTCTGGTACTAGTTTAGCATGTTGTCAGGGCAGGCCGTTGAATGTGTGCATCCTTCTATGTCGGCGGCATTTACTGGGATGGCTTCCATTGCTGATAATCTAGAGGGACATGGCTGTGACTGGCATCCTCTTGCCACTGGAATTAACAGCTTTTCATCACAGGCGGGTTTTGGAAGATCATCCTTTAAGGCCTCCTGCCAAATCCACGGGCCCCGAGCAACCGCCTAACCCTCAAAGGCAAACACACATACAATGGATGGATATATTTCTATATATATATATATGTATAAATATGTATATATATATACACATATATACATATATATGTATATATGTGTCCTCACTCCCTGAGTTCCCGGATTTCGAACCTTTTGGGGTTCCACTCTAGTGGCCATCCACAAAGACGCACGCGGGGAGGATGGCTCGGTGGTCCAAGTGAAAGCGCCCTTCGAGGCGCGAAGAGACGGGCGACCCGGGAGGCGTTGAACCCGGCCGGGATTTTTCTTGGACGCCTGCGGAAAACGGGAAGCAAGCATGTTTAAGCCATGGGTTTCTGCCAAAGAGCCCGCGGGTTTTTGGGGTTTGTGCTGGTGTTTTTCTGGTTTAATTTAGCTTGTCATGGGCGCCCTTTCCTAACCCAAAAGAGGGGGGAACTAACCCAAGTAGTCAGACTTTCCTTTCAGGCTCGCATTCCAAAGCACGAGCCATGACGAACCAACAGTGGAGAAAGAGCCACTGGGAAGGTTGCTCGCAAGCGAGCAAGTTGCTTGTGCAAAGCCGACTGGCCAGGTTGTGAAAAGGGCAAGATGCGATTACGTGGGTTCGTATGCCGGCATTTGGTTGTCGTTTGCCAAAGTCCTTGAAACGGTGCCCTCGCATATGTTTGCATGGATTCGCAAACGTTCACGCATGCTTGTTGACTTCGCAAGCCGCTCACCAAAGTTATTCTTGCACATCTAGCTTGTGCTCAGGAGAAGACCTGCTTGCGAGCAAGTGCTGTGTTAATCCGGTTCGTCTCCTTGAAGCAGCTTTGCAAGAGGAAGAAGCACTGAGGAAAGCCGCTGAGGAAACACGGTTGCTCCGAGCCTTTAGATGACCAACCCTCCAAGATTAGATTGGGAAGGGTCAAAAGGTCCTTTGCATGGGATGCCCATGCGGAAAGCCACTAACAATAGCAACGGTTTCGCATGGTCATTTGGGGGACGAAAGGAATGTTGGTCAACCCCCAGCTGGTTTGACGTTCAAGAGGGCTATGGGGAGGGGGGGCTATCCCTTATTCACCCCTGAAGAAGGCCTTACTAAGGGCTTATCCTCAGTTTATCCTGGGCTTATCCAGGGCATCGATTTCACTATTGGACATATTTTCTCACTTGTTTCAGGGGGCGAAAAAAGCAAATGGAGGTATATGAAACGGAATTTCAGGATCTGAAGAAACCTGGACCCTCCAAAATTCCCGTAAGCTTGGGGTGATTGCCCCAACATTCTGGGTTGAAGCTTGAGGGTCCAGGAACAGGATGTTCTGTGCACCCCAGATGGGGCCCAAGGAAGAATCCAACGAGCCGCGCCAAGCTCGGGAGGCGCAGTTGGTCGAGCTTAACAGCAACCTCACAGAGGCCAGGTTTAGGTTTGGTCTCCCCCAAACCTGTTCTTGGCGGTTCCCAGCGAATCCTCCGGCTCCTTCGGTTTTTAGGTTTTTCGGGTTTTGTGGCTGGGTTTCCATACAAACCCACTGAAAGTTGAACTTTTCGCAGGGAATCTGAGGACAGCCCAGTGCATGCTTCAATTGTTGCTTTGTGCGGCACGTGTTCAGCCAGAGTATGGCAGGGGCCTTTCGCATCACCAAAGTTGGCAATGCTGGCGGAGTGTCCCTTTCGCAGGGCGATGTTCAAACAGGACATCTAGTGCTACCCCCATATTAATCAACGGCAGTTCGTTAATAAAGGGGGTGTCCCTGGGTATATGTGGGGAATCAGGCCACTTTTGGAGGGGCCTTACTCCACTATTAACTAACTGGGGTTGATTAATATGGGGTCAACATTCAGGCACTAAGAAGGCGGCCGCCAACAGAAAACAACCTGTGTGCCCCCCTGCCTGAGCAATGTTTCCACACGGAGATGATGCTTCATCGAAACCAGCTTCAAACAAGTCTTGCTGCACCCGCTTCTTTGTTTCGTTTTTGTGCCTTCAGGTCGTAGTATTTTCAAAAGCGCGCCGTATTCAAGCGAGTCAAAGAGCACCGATCCCCTTGTCCGGTCCTCAAGTGTTCAGCTTTCTTCTAGGAATGAAGGTTAAACCATGTGTTTCCAGGTCGTTTGAGCAGAGTCCGGTTTCCTTTTCCGCTTTACCCCGCCGCGCCCCCGTGTGACTGTCTAATTCCGACGCAAGCTTGCCGCCTCCGGCCTTGATTTCTACGAGCCCGAGCTGTTGGCCCAACTTTTTGGGTCGCGACGGGACGGGACCCGGGCGGCCGATTTCGCGATCGAGTCGGGAGACTCTCGCCATGGGCTGCGGCAGTAGTACAGTGGTCCAGGAGCTTGGCGGGCGTGACGGAGGCTTGGCCCCCTTTGGATGGCACAGGGAAACGGATCCTCGAGTTTGATTGCTCTGATTTGCCGTGGTTTTGTCGTTGAGTAGGGTTGGTGTACTGGCAATGCGGGCTTTCCTTGCCCGCTAGCACGAACCAAGAAAGTATTGGTCATCCAAAAGTTCAGGACCGAAGGTTGACGTTTTTCCCGGGCGCTTCAAGGAAGCCAAGGGACCCTGGGGGGGATCCGATGAAGTCCCAGTGAGTCAGGCACTGAGAGACGCTAGCTGCTTATTTTGGGAGGGGAGGGGTGAAAAGGGTGGGGGGGATTCTGGGCTGTTTGCAGGCTCCCTATGTGTCAGGAGAAAATCAGGAACTCTAAGCAACCCTGAAGGTTTGGCTGACCTCTTTGAATTCCGCGGTCGGCCAATTTGATTTCGCACACTTTCGAAACTGCCGACTAGCAACCACCCAGCTGCTTCGTAGCACCCGAACTTTTCCTTTTTCTTTGGTAGGTTCGTTGAAAGGATCAACCCCCAACGAGGGTTCTCCCTTTGTCCAAAGCTCACATGGCTGGAGGCATTCCAGCTTAGGGACTTTTTACATCAAACCGGGTTGTTCAAAATCAATCCTGGATATGCCAGATGGTGGGGTTTCCCTCGTTGTGGTGGCGTATCACTACGGATTGCTGATTAGGATTCGGGATCCGTTGGAGCAACTTAATGTGTAGGGAGGAACGTGCTGTGGCCTACATCCATTGCGAGCGCGGTCCACGTTCCCACTAGAATCTGGAAACATGGGACAGTTTTGGACGGTGCTGTTTCGCACTGTCCAGGCGCGCTTGCCATTCCGACGTGCCAGTTTTGCTTGGCTCGTTTGCCACCCCCACGCGAGGGGATACCTATGAAGAGGATTTGTTCAAAACAGGCTGGTGAAAGGCCGCGGTGGCACTTCTGGCAAACAGTGGGGAGGATCATTCAGCCCCAAAGCTCCCCCGCAGCTTTTTGGGCGAAGCTTGGTGGAACCAACCCCTTCCTCCCCCCCGCCCCCCCATTTTGTTTGGTTCATGGGTCGCATGGCTTGGCTAAGGAGACCTCGTGTTCCGGCCTTGGTGGCGGGAGGAGCCAGTGCAGAGACAGGAAACTGCGCGCAGCTTCCACTCGATGGACGGACAGCCAGGCATAGCGTATGGGCCGCCGGTTGCTTCTACCCACTACAGGTGCCTTGGTCACATCAATATGTCCAGCTACTGAAGGGGCAGGGTACGTCAGGTAAGTGGTTAGCAAGCCTGGTTATAGCATAAATAGCCCACTTAGGAGACTTATAACCACGGCAAGTGGGTTATAACCAGGCTTACTAGCCACTCACCAAGTACCCTGCCCATTTAAATGGACCCATTCGCAAGCCCGGCGTGGGTGACTCACTTAATTTCCCAACAAAAGGCTCAGGAGTGTGCTGGGCCTTCCAATGGCAGACCACCCCGGAAGGGTTTGGGGATCTCAAAGCCCGGCTGGTTGAGGGCCCTATCTTATCTGCTTGGGGATTTCGTCACTGTCTTGCAGTTTCCCTGCCTTTGGTGGAGGGGAGTGGTACTTGGGTACTTCCTGGATCTAGCTCTGAGACATATGTTGTTTTCGTTGTGTGTTTGTCAGTAGGTTTGTCGTGGTTAGTCAGACTTTGCCAAAGAGATGCCAACCATAGTCAGTCTTACAATAAACCACGCATGCTCAGCGCAACGTGTTCTGTTGGACCCCCAGAGGTGCCCCTTATTTTCCCATGTTTCGGGGGAAGCAGCGCAGCAGCAACACGAGCTGCTGGAGGCCTGAGGGCCCCGGGGACCAAAAACAACTCTTGCCCAGGGAAAGAGTTGGCTGAGCCTGGAGAGAATGCGCCGCGCTTTCAACGCTCACTTCCGGAGTTGGACTTTGAACTTTTTGGGTAGGCCCCAAGTCTAGAGGGTGGCCATTTCCCGGTGGAGAGAAGCGAAAGAGACGTCGCTCACTTTTTGGCCTATCCGAAGACAAATCCAAAACATGGCTTGATCATATTTGCCGAAGCTGTCTCAATTTGAAACGTGTTGTTGCTCGGTTGCGTCGTTCAGAAGTCCATAGGCTTTCCTGGGCAGTCAGCTCCATAAGTCAAAGTCCTGCGGGTGCTTTTCGTTGAGTTGACATTGCAGACCCCCATGTGAACATTCTAAGGGCTGGGTTCGCCTCTGAATGTTGAGACATCATTTAGATTTTGCCCACTTGCTCATAGCGAGCCATGGGCAAGGGGCCAAGAACAGCTCGGCCCCATGGAATCAACAGCTTCTCGGGACACACATGTAGATGCTGCAGATATGCCTGTCCCCTTGTTTAGTAGTTCAAGGCGCGTTGTCGTGAACGTGCATATTGGGTTGCGGGTTCTGCTCTAATTTGAGGCGGGCATGCACTTTGAACGGAGCAAAGCATGTTGCTGCCAGTTCAGCCTTTCACCTTCCCATGTTTGGTCCCTTCAAATCCAGCCAAAACTGGGAACTTAAACGGGGACGGTACTTAGAAAGTGGGTAGTAAGCATGGTTAGAGCCCATAAACGCCATGGTGACGTTCAGTGGGTTCTAACCAGGCTTGCTAACCGACCTGACGTGCCTCGATCACCCCTTTCAGCGTTTCAGTACCAGCTCAATAGAATCCAAGTGAGCCAGGCATGTGGCCCGGCTGGAGAACTTCCTCCACAGAACTGAGTCCAACGGTTCGCACCTGCAAAGTGCAGTTCGGTCTCGCAGGGTGTGCTATCGCTAGGGTCTGGGATGGTCTTGAGGGGAGGTGGTTCCCACTTGCGGCCATCCACATCAGCCATTGATGCATTTTGGGTTACTTTGGCTTGAGGGTCACTATCAGACCCATGGAAAGAGGTTCAAGTGTCGGATTCTGGAGTCTGTTGGTGTTACGTTTTATGTCGACCTCTCTTTGGAGGGAACCTGCCCCTCAAGTGTCTGCAAGTCGCAGAAGCAAGGGCTGCAAGTCGCAGAAGCAAGGGCTGCAAGTCGCAGAAGCAAGGGCTGCAAGTCGCACAAGCTTGTGCACGGGCTACTTACCGAATTCGGAACTTTACCTCTCCAATAGCCGCAGCGTAGCATCGGGCGCGTTTCAGAACCGTAGATTCCACCTATGGCGAGCCAGCCATGAAGGTTCTCTTGGATCCCATGCAGGTCTTAGTTCAGTCGGTTTTCAGATTCCATCCTCCACAAAAGGTTCACAATCAGTGGCCACCCTGAAAGGCCCTGAAGACCGGGTTTACAGGGCGAAGCGAGAGTGGTGCTTGCTGCGCTTGTTTTTTTCGCAGCGTTTGAGGCATGTTTTTCGCACTAACTGGCCCTGGTCAGAAAACAGGGTGCCCTTTTGTTCTCCAAGTTCACTGGGCAAGTGGGGGAGAACGGAAAGCAAATTGCGGGTGGGAGAACCAGTGATTGCTGCGAGGCTTGACGCTGTTCTCTTACTCCCATGGTTCAATCGCTTGCATTTCGGCAAGTAGCCTGGCCAGCGTATTAAGTGCTACTGACATTTTGTGCCCGAGTCCATTTGTTGGGCTGCTCCCAAGAAGGCATGGGCAAAACTAGCATTCAATTGATTGAATATATTGAATTGATTGCGTGATGCAACCAGCAGGTTGAGACTTGCACGGAAGAAAATAACTTCCATCAGGAGAAGCTGGCCGGCTTTGATTCCCCCAAGTGGAAGGATGACAAAATCCGAGTAGAACGTGAAACGGGCTGAACCCCAAGCTGAAAGATATGTAGATGTGTCTCATTTGTACGGGCAACCCTTTTGGTTTGCGAAGGAATCCCCAGAGAAGCCGCCCCCCCCCAAAAAAAAAAGAATAAAGAAAGAAGAAACAAGCAAACAAAAAAGGCACATCCATGATGTGTTTTTCCATACGCCTCTCGTTTTCCCTAACCAGAAGCTTTCACGTCGGAGAGGCAAATCGCCCTTGGGGTTCAACGGTGGCAACGAATATTCCCCGCTCAAGGGCGAATTCTGTCTGAGTTTCCTGGGGTGATGTTTCATAGCGGAATCCTACCTATATATATATATAGATATATTATAT